AACTATGTCTAGAAGAAACTCTTCATTATTATCTACTAACTCTTTATTACTCCTATTAACATTACATTTAAGAGCCTCCCTCTCCTTCTAAGCTATATATACTTGTAATAAATAGCAAGCAAATCGTTTTAAATAAGTAATGTATTAATCTAAACTATCCTCGTTCTATAGCTGTACTATAGGTTAGTTTTTAACCTTCTTAGTTAAGTTAGTAGTTTGCAACTAATATAGGTTGTCGTCATTTAAGCTGCCTAACCCATCTATAGCGCCCTTAACTATAGAATTAACGATTTCTCTAGCGCGTTAGAGCTACTTATCCTTTTAGTTAGGCAACCTACTTATATAAGTAATACGTCTAATATTACAACTGCTAAAGTGTAGCTGCTACTATATAAAGTTCTACTAACTAGTATTATTGCTCTTCTTAGTCTTAGAATCTACAATCTTAAGCTGCCCCTTGTCCTACTTGTCTATTGCTATAAAATCCTATAATAATTAGTCTTAGAGTAATGCATCTTCGTTATCCTTAATATTAGAATTATTCTCCTGTTCCTTACTAGCTACAATAAAATATTTCTAGAATCTAGCCCTAAAGAATGTCTATACTGTTACCTCTTTCTAATGCACTAGATCCTCTTTTAAATGAAACTACCTATGAATTTTACAGTGCCTTTAAATTGAGTTCTTTAATACTACAATCGTATTATAGTCGTTGTACTAGAACCCTATCATTAGTTCTCTAAGCGCTTTAAATGGTAGTCCACCTAATTTAGGAAGTGGAATATTTTTTAGGTTGCATAATATAAATTCCTTATACTTTTTAAGTAGTAGTCTTCGTCTTTCTATGCCTAGATTATAGACCTTATATAGATGATAATTAAAACCTTAGATAGCTGTATAATGTAGTTTATACAGCAAAACCCTATACTCTACATTATATTTAAATGTATCGTTATCTTAGACGTTGACGTTATTAACCCTACTATCCTATTTAATGGTTGCTTATTAAGTAACCCTAAGTTAGTAGATATAACCCTAACCTCAACCCTAGACCCCCTCTAACTTACTTATATTTAGCTAATTAGACGTTTAGCAGCAAGATCTATGTTTGATTAGCACTGTGTCTTAGTAGTAAAGCAAAAGCTGTCGTTAATTTAAAGTTATGTTACATTACACGTAGCTGTTTTAACTTCATTTTTAACTACTACGCTAAACCTAATCAAAATGCGCTTACTGCATTTAGACGCATTTTTAAGTTAAATCATCGTCTGCCTTATGTAAAGGACGCATCTTAGAACACAGCTGTTGCAATCATCCATGGCCTACTATATCAACTTATCAGCTAATACCCCTAACTTTTACATCATGTATTTACTCTATAGAAAATACAACAGGATGCTTTATTTAATAGCAACTCCTTTGAATGCCTTTAGAGGATATTCTAGACAATGCTAGAGGACCTTAGGACGGATTTAATCTACATCCTTAACGGACTAGATAAATGCGCTAATGATTCTCTTACAGGTCTACTTTAGAAGATCAAGATTCTCTTTATAGAGAGCCTAGAGAGGCATAAACTAAGACTTATCATTCTTAGTTAGAGACACCCTAACTTCCTCGAGAGGATGCTAGGTTCATTCGTTTGGATCGACCTAGATTCTAATTAAGTTAACAATCGACCTGATACTAATGCTTATATCACCTCTTGGGTTGCGCAGCTTGCTAAGCGAAAAGGGATTTCTACGAGCCTTGTTAAGCATATCGAAGAGATATTTTAGAAGAAATTAGAAGATACATTCCTCTAGGTTAGTTTCATAGCTAATGACCTTAAGAAGCAGACAGTATCCGGCATCGAGAAGGCATTGCACACCCTCCTAAGGGGCCTCGATGAGATTTATGAGCGAATATTGCTAGGTATAAAGCTAGATGACACTGCCATCATCGCAACTATGCTATAATGGATTTCACTAGCTATGAGTCCATTAACAGTGCCCTAGCTAGCTGAAGCCATGCGAGTTCAAGCATCTAGTTATCTGTTAAAAGAAGAGCTCTACATGATCTATATTGAATCTTGCGGTTACTTACTTCAGGTTTCTTGCCTAAGCGATCCTGATGAGTCGTCCTAAGATTCGGAAGTCTCACTCAGTCCTAGCGTAACCTTTGTCCACTAAAGCGTTAAAGACTTCATTTTCAAGCTACCTAAGCACCACATGGTCTTGGCTTTTCAGGTGAATAAGGCATAGGGTGATCTTAACATCGCCTGTCAATTGCTATCTTCTATGTAGAACGAATGGCTTGAATGTGTTAAAGACATACATGAATCTATATTTCCTGAGGGTATGTTCCGAGAGATCGATGCATACCCCCTAGCACAATACGCACGACTGAATTGGGACCTTCACTTGAAACAGCTACAAGATAAGAGCCTTTTGCACTTAATCGATAGGAACGCGTTTTTTTTCTTAGATTCGTCTACTGTTAGAGACAAGTGGCAGTATGCGAGCGGTACCCTAATCTCTTACAGAGAAAAAGCAAATTTGCTTCAATTTGCTTGCGAATTTGGACTTCTCGCTTTGGCGAAGAAGTTCCTGAAACGAAAGAGACTAACCTCGCCATTCACGTTCTAGCAATATATCAACCACGAGGGCTCCAGCTAGTCGGCGCTATGTCTTGCAATTGATAGCGGAAATATTGAGCTAATCCAGCTTCTTTTAAGCTACAAGGTGAATATACTATGGAAAACCTATAATAAAAGTGGTGCTCTGCATTCAGCGTTAAGAAAACGGCGATCTTAACTCAAGCAACCTTCAAAGCATTCAAGAACCCGAGCCCGACAGTCTGGCAGGCTGTGAGAGTGAGACGTACGGCAACCGGATACACTGTTACTTAGTGGTTTCCCTAGCTAGGCGGCCACCCCATGCATATAGATTAACGAAGGAGCTTCTGGAGGCGCTACGTGATGCTGTCAAAGGTCACAAGTCGTTTCTTGAGGATGGGAAGATTCTTCGTTTTTCCCTAGTCACTAATCTATGTTCTCTAGATACAATTGCTGATGCGGAGCAGGCTCTAATTGGGCCCTGGCCGCTGGACCGAAGGCTCAAGATATTGAGGCTGTATCAACGCAAGTAGATGTGCGATAGTGTTGAGGCTTTCACGCTAGCTCCCCTGACCCGTATCTTGAAATGGAGCTACGAAGAAACCTAAGTCCTAATAGCAAAGATTAGGAGTGATTTGCGCAACAAAAAGAACCATTTGCATATTGCTTTTCACTTTGTATATAGGCGGAACCTGTTAGCACATCCTTCAGAGATATATTACAGAGTATAAAGTCTGTATTTAATTATAATAGCTGTGAACATATAGATTTAGGTAGGCTTTAATTTCATAGAAAAGCTGCTGTAGTGCCAAGAAGGCAGGATAACGCAATCTATGTACGCTGTTTAGCGCCAACTGATTAAGGTTCGCGGCCCCTTACTAAGCTGCACATGTATCCACTAATCCACCTAATAGTGCCACCTACACCAGCGAATCATCCCTCACCCCATAGTACCACCGATGGTGTCGATGAACCCTCACTACCCTATTGTCTCACCTGATGGTCTCAATAAACGCTTACCACTACGTATGCACCCACGGAGCAATCCCTTAGAGGGCATTTAGCCGTATAGGCTCATTTAACTGTCCCGCCAATGTCGTCCAACACTAAGGGCTGTTGCGCTAGTGAGGCGGTAAGTAGTGTTTATGTGTCTAAGCAGTCCAATGTAAGGGCGAATAAGACGTTAAGTGGCAGGGAAAACTTGAACCATACAATCATACTCCGACTGTATCATTAGTGTGAGAGTGAACCTAGTAGGGCACTGTCAGTTGACCCTAGACGACTGACCCTAGATCTTAACCTAGCTGGCCACTGTCTATTGATCGATTTTATGTTTGGCTCAGCTAGCTTTAAGACAGTTTCATTAAATAATTCGTCAGTCATCGACAGCTCAACGAGCAGATAGAAAGCAGCTGGAACTCCTACAGTCTAACAGGCTAAGCAAAGTTTGTGTCAATTTTGTGTCACTCACGCATCATACAGGAATAAGTCAAGTTAAGTTCATTGTAAGCATATTAAAGTAAGCGCATTTAATTACCTAAGGCTATAATATTCGGCAGATCAAAGGCTATCACCCATCACTGATAATGAAACACCAATCCCTTTATCGTACCGTGTCTCAATAAACCTTCAGCCACATCAGACGAAAACGACCCACAACTGTTTCACCTGTCAAAAAAGCTTACCACTCCCATCAGCCCGAAATGTTAGAATTTCGCCCCTAAAATACCTCAGCTACAGCTTCTGTCTCGGGGGACAAGATCAGGGTCTAGTTAGTCATACTTAATTTGTCACTCAGCAAAAACGGCGGGGTGCGGGTCTTAGTACAGCTCAGGGTACGACAGCTACGGTCCTGTTACAGCTGTCACAAGCTCGATGTCTTACCCATGGTAAAGGGATTAGGGGTGTCTTAGGAGCTCAGCTTCAATATTAACGCCAGATCATCACGGGATTTCCTTACAATAACTCAAGAGTGTAGATCACGGCTAGATACGCAGCACTGGCTTTGTCACGAACAGGGCCTCGGCCTCTTAAGACGCCCATCCAAGGTCTAGGAATATAATACATAGGCTTGTTTAGGTGTTGTCATTCACTAATATTGGCAGATCGGTACATGGCTCTGTCTAATTACTACATATTCGGATAGATATTGCCTCAAGCCGCCCCTGCTCAGTAAATATCATGTCTTAGAGATGCCGATAGTAGAAAAGAAATCCAAAAAAGGTAGACGGCTAGCTTGCTCTTGATCATAGCATTTCAGAGGTTATATAAGGTTGTTTGAACGCCCCCCGCCAGACCACACTTAGTACGGTTACGCAGCAGCAGTTACGCAGCAGTAGTCATCACACAACAGAAAAACATCCTATTACTTCTCGCCTTTTTTATCACTCTTACCACCGCTACAATGAAGATTGTAGCCATCCTCTCTCTCGTCTCTGTAGTCTCTGCCTACATCCTAGGCCCGGGAGGCATCGACTTAGCCCCCTTGTTAAGAAAGCTACATGCGCCCTTCCCTGCCTAGCAGCTGCCATGCATAACGCCAAGTGCCACGGACGCTATGAACCGTTGGTAACGACGTTCTGTGACCGTAGGAACCCAGGGGGAAGGCTGGGCTTAGCTTAAAGGAGGGTCAACCTTCAAAGTGAACCAAACCACATTCTGCCTCTGCAACTGTCGCTATTGTCAGGTCACGTAGAGGGGCTTGACTTGAGCAAAACAAAGGTTTAGCTCTCATGACAGACGTCAAAGTCCAGGCCATTGCTATTAAGAGCTATTAAGAGTAATGGCCTAGACTTTAACATCCGTCATTAGGGAGCTAAACCTTAGTTCTGCTCGAGCCCTTCTAGGTGACCTAACAAGAGCGAGAATTGTAGAGGCAGAATGTGCTTTGGTTCACTTTGAAGGGAAAGGGGAAGAAGCTTTTATAGATCTCGTACATCTCTGCGTCAAGAAGGTGAGACACTGCTGACGTGTTCTGGAGTCTAGAAGGACCATTCGTTTATCGTGGCTAAAACCGTTGGGACTGTGCTACATCTCAGCTTTGAAATGTAAGACTCTAAGGAGGTGATACCTTGTAATCACCCTACCACGTTTGATTTTGGCTCAAATCGCATGCAACTAACTCTCATTACAGTGCCTCCGCCGCCAAGGACGCTGTTGGTGACAAGATCGACGAGAGCAAGCACGATGGCAAGGCCGAAGCCCACAAGCAGCAGATCTAAAGCGTCTCTGCGGAAGGAACGGATCTAGGGAAGCAGATACTATCACGGCTTTGCTTGTTGAATGAAATGCAAAGTTAGATACCCCTATTCCTTGGCTCGTGCATATCGGATCAAGCAATGAATCAGCTGTTCACGTTCCCCGAGTGCATCGACTCTTAGACCAGTAACCCTCGATCGACCCCTAACAACCATCGAAGCAAAGCACATATTGAAGCTCCACACCGTTGTCCACCCGTATCTCGCCGCGTTATTCACATCCGAAATTGACGTCGAAATTGTGGAATGAGAGGTGGCTTCCTGCGTCACTCGTGATTTGTGTCTATTGAATTCGTGAGCTGAGTTGGGACTGTCTCGTACGGAAATGTCCGTGACGAGGCTCATCAGTGGCAACTTCCGGAGCGAGTTCATCCTGCTATCGGACTTCTTCGGCTCCTTATAAGTGTTCCGTGCCGAATGAGTCCGGCATGTGTAGAAGTGACTACTCCCTGCTTCACCACCAATCTCGCCAGCTCCGTCTTAGCTTGACCTATCTCTGATGCAGGTGTCTTCTTGCTGCTCTTTCCATTCTGACACTTCCCTTCTTCATGAGAACGGCCAAGCTCCCGTTTCCGATTTGGAGATAAAATTCCCAGTAACGCTCTTAGACGAACGAACTCGGCTCGTTCAAAGTCAATCCAGGTAATCCCTGGTCGATCCGGGTGGATGAGAATGTTCCGGGCTGCAGGATCACCCTGCAATACTCCCAGCTGATGTATGGCATGGCAGATGGCGTCGTCAGCGAGTCCTCGGAAAGTTGGCCGGTTACGTGCCTTAGGCAACCGGTCCTGAAACCTCTCTTTATCTTGTCTCACTTCTCGTGGCAGAATGAGGCGTCTCATCAGCTCCGTCATCACTTTATATCTTCGGTATTGCCTTCGATATTGTCTTTGATAAGTTAATCATGTGGTGGGAATGGGATAGTCAACTGACAGAATGATATGTTCGTGTTGTACGAAATCGCCAAAGACAGTGGCCTTTGCGAGTAAAAGCAGCAGAGCAGCAGACAAATGGTGGTGCCACGACAATCAAAACATGTTTTAATCAACGTCATGTCTCAGTCCCTTTCCAGCAACGAGCCCTTTACCGGCTAGATTGAATTCATTCGTTAAACTGTTGATTAGATAGGTCGCAGAGAATCTAGAGCCAATATTTACGTATTTTGTGTCTTAAAAGGTGCTGTTACACCGGTTTATCGATCCAACGCCCACAAGAATGGCTAACGGGCTGTTTCACGCTATATCAATCTCCCGAAGTCTGTTGGCTTTAATTGTACTCACATAACAGAAAAGTAGGACGAAAATGTATATGCCTGCATGCAATCGCCAGAAAGATAAATGCATCATGGCTACCATGGCTTGCTGGTCGGCGCGGCTGGAACGCGAATTACTTCATGATTGGTATTACAACGGCTAAATTGTCTAATTAACGATATTTCAACTTATACAACAGGACAAACTGCCAACTCTCTGTTTACTTGTCTAGGCAGCTGTGTTTTATGGCGCTAGGTGCTCTCTTTGGACCATCTTGCAGTTGTGCCTTATGTATCTCCTACTCTTTTTAACCCTTAGTGGCAACAGTCTCGCGGATCGTCCACGTCACGCTGTATCTAGGCCGAGACATCAACCCTGTGAAGGGATACAACAGATATCTACTGCATCAACTGTAACATGAAGCTCAGAAAGGATAAGAACGGCACTTTCGCCGGCCTCTGCCTCTCTCCTGATATTTATAACTTGCACAATACAGAAGGCAACCCTCTTTCTGAGAGTTGATCACTAGGTTACACAAAGATCCTAGTACAAAACACAGTGACTAGACACAGGGACTAGAAAAGTGGACGCTTGCCCCGATCTCGGTAGTTTCTTAATCTCGCTCAAAGACTGTGTGACACTAGCTTCCCATGCATATTGATGGGTTTGCACAAGTGAGCTACAGAAAATATATGCCTAAGATGTGTGGCATACAGCATGTCGAAATACTACCATATGAATGGTAGTTAGTAACAGTATGGCGTTCGGCCATTATAGAGCGAAGGGGGAAGAGTGGATGGTGGCGGGTAGACCTGAAGAGCTTAATTATCACCGATCAATGTAAACCCTGTGCGTTCTCCACGGAGACCAGGAGGTCTATCCCCAGTTTTCAGCAACTGCCTGTGTACAGATCGGCAGTCGCGTACATTGCTGGCACACCCCTACAAATTCTAAGACTGGCGTACCACACCACGTACATATTGTTGTCGATTTACTCACTGTGCAGGTATCGATGTTAATTGGACAACATATAAGTGACGACTAAAAGAAGAAGTTTCAGATCCAGCTTCATTTCGCCACCGCTCTTGTTGTATTACGTTCAGCTTGTCT